CTCTTGATAAGATCAGGAGTAAGCTAACCTAATCTACAGATAGGATTAAGATCATCCCCTATCCAGATGCTGATTTGGATTGGGATAACTCCTAATAGGATTAGGAGGTTTCTTAATCAAGAAGAAAAAGAGGAGAAACCCTAAGAGAGATACAACAACAGAATTCGAACCTAGGGTTTTGTGCAAGAAATCATCTTGCGAATTGAGATAGGATCTCATACACTCCAGAGAGAAGAGAAGCAAAATCCGCCATCTTCATCTCATGACTTCTTCTCCAGCCGCTGCCATTCTCTGAAAAGATTCGATCTTTGAAGAATAGAAATCAAGAAATCAGTTCTTGATATCAGTTTTGCAGAAAGAAATGAAAAGATTCGGTGCTCAGTGTTTCCAGAGGATTCTTGTGAAGAATTTAGTGTGTAGGACGCACTCTGCTGGTTCTGTTCCACACATTGCTGTGTCATCTTCAGTAAGAGCGGATCTTGGTGTCCTCTTTGGGCGTTAACACCAACTTTGGGAGATACTGCTTCTCTGGATCAGGTATAATTTCTCCCTTGTCTTTTGGTTCAGATCTGGTTCGATTATGGTTCAAGTAGGATCCTTGAATATTGTATTCTAAATTCAGGGAATATGATTCCCAGTTGGGAGAAGGTAGGAAATTTTTGAAATTCGCCCCACCCATTCCGCAACCTTTATGGCGTCCATTAGATGGATCCTACCATTCTATCAGAAGGGGTAAATGGTGTTGGATTCGACTGATCTTGTACCGAATATTGGTCCAACTCAATCCGGTCCAGCATGAGTCCATTGCAGATGAACTAAGTCTACTCTAATTTGATAAATATTTTGGACTAGGTTTCAAATTGATTTTAATTCAAATTGTGTCAAACACAAACTTGGTCCTTTGACTCCCAAGGTTCAAAATATTGATACGATATACCCCGTATCAAGCGTATCGTATCGTTGGCTTAACAATATGCCCTTACAAGGGTCGTATCAGGGTGTGACCTGGTTCAGGGGGTAGACCAGCCTTAGATCGACCCCTCTGAACCAGTTTCAAAGACAAACATAAAAGGAAGATCGAGATTCGGTAGAGGCCAATATGCCTCTACCAACGCAACGACCTATATCGATATTTTATCTTTTGCCAATGGACTAGATATTGGTATAACCCAATATAGTGCAATATAAATCTATTACAAATGGGACCAAGTCCCCAATAAAATATTTGGAACATTAATTCTCGACTAGTACAATTCAATATGTCTTATTGGATCGTCCAACGAGATCAAATTGGTGTTGATTTGGATGAGGTCCAACCCAAATCCAGTCCATTGACATGCCTAATTACATATTTAATTTTGATTAATTTAATATAGACATGGAGAAATTTATGAATGTCAATGGGGCGGGCTTAAGGTGAGGACCATATTCCCATACTAACCCCTAATTTTGAAGCAACTCCACATCTATGTCCTCGATTTCTATGAGGTAGAAAATGAACCTCCATCCCTGATGGAGACAAGTTCCCGCATGTAGGACCCAAATCCCTGATTTCATTTATTTTATATAAATTAAAAGCATTATTTGGGAAAAAGATTTACTTAAAATAAAGAAAAATATTATAATCTAAGTTGATTTAGCATTTATCTATCATCATTAATTATTGAGATTACATAGAAATTTGTCTAATATATGTAATGGCATTATTTTAATTATAAAGGACTATTTTCAAAAGTTGTCTAGTTTCCTAGATGGTTCCCCATTAGGGTATAGACTTTACTTCCCATCATTGATCCTATCCTCTATTGGGTATCCTAGTTATTCCTTATCCCCATCCTCAGTCCCACTAGAGCAATCATGTTCAAAACCTGATTCAGTCGGGAAGGCTAGATACCGGGTGGGTATCCCAATTAACTAAGTTAACTTGTATTATGTTTACTAAGATAGTTTGGGATTTGCAAGATAATTTAATTTGATTAAGTTTATTTAAGAATAATTAATAAAAGAGAGGGAATTGATTGACAATAGAGAGAGAAATTTGTGTATAAATTATGAAAGAATAATTAATATCAGAGAGAGAGAGAGTTATAGTAAAAATAATTAGGATTAAATTAAGAGAGTATTTTTTGGAGATGAAGTGAGTTTTAGCTTTTAACTGAAAACAATAATTTTGGAGGTGGAGATATTTCTAGAATACTTCTAGGTAATTGGTTGGGAATGGTTTTAGATAAGTTTACATGTGTCACACATTACAAGGAGAGGCCACTTGATGTGGATGAAATTCTTTTAGTAAATAATAGGGAAATTGTCTAAAACTCACCATGAGTTTTTAGCATTTCTCTTAAACTCACCACAACTTTTCAAAATGTCTAAAATTCACCATGTCACTAACTTGACGTTAAACAGACTAACGGGTATTAATATATTATCATTTTAATATTTAGACATGAAAAAAGGAAAAAGTTCAACAAAAATATTTTCAAATATAAAATACATAAAAACATAGAAATTACAAAAAATATAAAATGTTATAAAAATTGCAAACAAAATTAAAAATCATTTTCAAATTATAGAATCTATAAAAATTGAAAAACAAAATTAGAAAATTAAAATTGTAGAAAAAACACCAAAAATTATAGAAAACACAAAAATTGCAAATAAATAGCAAAAAAATAAGAAAATTTATAGATTGCAGAAAATAGAAAAATGTAAAAAAAAACAGAAATTATAAAAAGCATTGGAAATTATAACAAAACACTAAAAAAGCAAAAAGAAACAAGAAAATTGAAAACTGAAAAAGACCATTTTTCCTCTAACTCACAATTCAAGGGTAATTTGGTCATGAAAGTTGTTATTTATGCTGACATAGACCCTCTGTTAAGAAGCATTAACGGTGCACCAATGGAAGGTGAGCTTTGGAAAATAGAAACTTACTAACATGGTGAGTCTTAAACATTTTGAAAAGTTATGGTGAGTTTTAGAGAAATGTTGAAAACTCATGGTGAGTTTTAGACAATTTCCCTAAATAATAAAGATTCTTTAGAAAATGTTGAAGCGTGTGTGACATGTAGACAAACCTCATGTATCCCCATCCAAGTTACCTAAAAGTATTTCTATAATCCCTCTTTCATAAAACATCTTCCACTCATAAACCTACTTTAAGGTGATGGTAAATTTACCATGTTAAACATGAAAATATACTTTATGAAACATAACTAATGAAAACTAAATAGATTCTAACATCATTGATTGAGATTAGAATTAACATAAAACTGAGATTTTAATGAATGAAAAATAAAAGGCTCATTATTAAGCATTGACCAATTTCAAAATTAACATAGTTCGGATAGACTTCCCTCCAAACTCCCTAAAAGGGGATCCCTGGGAAGAAATTATTCACTTCCCACTAAAAAAGAAAAAAAAAATGAAAACAATAATACACTGTACGATTCTCACTTGCTGTCTCATTATTTGTACATTTATGTGTTAATACATAATATGGGACGTCTTATGTCTCATATTCTCTAACATTCTGCTGCCTATTGTCAAGTAATTGCTTCATGGCTTAATGGCTCAACCCAAGGGTGACAGGTATTCCAGTTTCTGGCAACCACTCGTTCCCTTGAAGGAGTGGTCCAGCAGTGAAAGGAAGAGCCTCGTCTCTATTGGTAATGACCTTGAAACCCTTCCATTTGACCCTCTGGTTGGTG